CACGGTCTGCATATTTTTCTCACCTCAATCCCGGGCAAGCGCAAATCACAGTCATATAAGTTTTGAGGGAATTTGGCCATGACAAACTATAAGAACTCAAATTAAAAAGTAGTACTATGTATAACTGAATCAATGTGAGCTGTTCTATTTCTCTCCCTAGTCAGATTCGTCGGCGCTGTCCTCCACATCAGACTCGGGGTGAAGATTCGTGAGACCCAAGTCACGACAGCGTCTGGAGCACGCGTGCTGCTCGACAAACTTATTAATACCATCTTGGCCATTGTCGCCGACACCAGAGGCACTGCAGAAAGCATTCAGAGTCCAAACTGCTGAGGAACAAATTCACATACCCGCCGGAGGTGTGCGTCATGAGGTCAAACAAAACCTGTGAGGCTTGACCGTTTGCGATGACAGCCTTCGTAGCTGAGAACGGTAGATGAGGACGGCATGATTTTGGTTAGTGAATGGCCTACTTTGAATATCGGCAAGAACAGTGGACTCAGCGCTGTTCTGGAAGATGTAGTGAGCGAAACAATTAAGAATATTGCCGAGTTTGCTGTTTGAATGGTTTGGGTGTTCGTCGGTTCCACTCCACTTGACTACATGTCCCGGGCGGAAGGGCTCTGCCAGCCAGACCATGTGCGACGCTGCAGCCACGGCTTCCTCAGAAGTATACCCAGAAGCCTCGCACGGCGCGTCATTTGCCTGGCCAGGCACTTCCACCATGAGAGTGCAGTCAGTGACAGACAGATCTGGATGGAAAATTAATACCGAGTTGTTCTAGAGCTCGAGTTTGGGAAAGGAATCAGAATTACCGTCACCAATGTCCACTTGGCGCTCCTCTGCCAGCGCTTTGAACTCGGTGAGATAAGTGGCCACCTCAAGGAGACGTTCCGCCTCCTTCTGCGTCTCACACGCGTTCTCGTCCAAAGTGACTCGGTCCCGGCCTCGGCCAACGTTGGAGAATCTCTTCATGGCGAGGACGGTGCCATGATAGAAACCCTGTCGCTGCAATATGCATATCGAAGGAAAATAAACTTGGGAGAGATCCGAACCTTGTACACATCCCGGTGGGAACAATGGCCATGACAATGGTGATCGTATGTCTTGTTTGCCCTCTCGTTCTTCAACTACTGGCTAATTCTCAAGTCTCTCAAGCCCCCGACGATCTCCCAGCTCTACTGCAAGGCTACGCTTCCAAGAAGGTTCCTCTCAAACGCCGGATAGAGCAACTTAGGGAGAAGAACTACCACATCAGGTCTGAAGTTCTCGCTATGAACTTCCCTTTACTCGGCCTGAATAAAACTATCCCAGCCTCACCACTCTCAAAAAACTCAACAAACAGTACAGTATAATCTCGCCGAGACGCCCACCCCCTGAACATATTGCCACAACACTCATTGCGGCCGAGATGGCTCAGAATATTACTGGTAGCAACAGTCCGAACACCATTCAACTGCGCGTTGCCCTCCAGACTGGCGTAGCTCTTCCTCGGTGTGTTTTCTCATTGTACATTATGTTGTTCAACTCGTTGAATATGGCAGTGCTGTGGTGCGCGGTACCATGAAGGCTCTTGATCCTGAGGGTCCTTCTCGCAGGTTCCCCGGCAAACGCCCGGTCAAGGACCGCTCCGTGATGACCGACAACGCCGTCTTCTATGAAACTCATTTTGATGGGCACGAGAAGCTTAACTTCAAGGCCTTGGAGATGGGTCGGGCGGGAATTGACATGTACGGCCGCGGCGGGCGCTGCCACGGTAGCGGTCTCATTGCCCTTTTGCGGGTTGTTCCCAACGCGAGATGTGGGGTCACCGTCGGTCATTTGTATCTGGACCTTGCTGAATCCTTTGGTTGTACGTGCTCTGGATTACCTCCTTTTTTCCCAATCACTATACCACTCTAGATATCCCGGTTCAAAATACCGTGGACGGGGGAACCGAAACTCGCTACATGACTCAGTTGCACAAGGAGCTGCGGTGAGTCCCTATGTTCTCCCTTGTGGTCAACCTTACAGATGCTCAGTACACACTTTCTGCGTGGATTCACTCTTGAGGACACCCCCGCCGTCGTTGCTTTGCCAAGCACGGACAACATTCCAATTGAGTCTCTCTGGAGCTATCTCCGCAACTTCAGTGGGCGAGATCTTAAGGCCGCCACTGATCAGTAAAACTACAAGAAGCACTCTGAGGTCTTTGAGGGCTTTGGGAAGTCCTCAAAGACCAAAAAGACCTGCCAGAGCTCAGAGTTCCAAGGTCTTTGCACAGTAGGGTCCACCATCACCCCAAAGACCATGTGTGGTCTTTGAGGACTTCAGGAAGACATCCGTAGACCTTTGAAAGTCGTCCAAGAGATTTCAAAAGACCCGAAACACATTGGATGATATAAAACCAAAATCAATTCAATGCTAGATACATACATGTGCTATCTACACCAAGTGTCCATGGAAGGAGTGAACAGTAGTTGCAAAAATGGAGTAGGGCAAGTAAAGGATGGTTGGGAACAACATCGGGGATAGAAAGAAGGGAACGGGACAGTAAGTACAGGGTCGATTCGCGATGGGGCATTTGAATTGCTGCTTGAGGGGATGTAGAGACTCGGATGTTCATGAAGCGATGGAAGGTGAGAGAGCAAGATGGCGCCAGGTGGTCCGAAGGGCTTGTGGCTTGATCCGCAGCGTATTCATTCAGGAAAGTGTTGGCATACGTTGCGGCGAGGAGGAAGTTGCATAGGAAGACGGTGAGTGGACACTTGCAGCTTGATCTTCGATGTGCGCGCGAAAGCTTGAGCGCAAGGGCCGAATGACAAGAGGGAATGGAAGAGGGAATGGCGGTGGCGGCTCAGCCTCCCAGGGTAGCGGCGTGCGGAAGACGGAGGCGGTGACCACGAATAGTTGCTGAGGATTAAACGCGGAGGTGTGAAGATGACGCCGTACAAAGACTCGAGAGGTTCCGGTGAGCGGATGCGATGTGTCGACCTGACGACGCGGCTTGATCTTGGGTGGGGCGAACGGTGGCGGCGATTCAAGCGGGAGCCCAAGGGCAGGCAGAGTGGGATGAGGAACGACGGCGAGCAGAGGGAGAGGGAGAGGGAGACGATGGTGGGAGGGAAGAAGAAACAAATTGCCGAATCACGCCATGCGGTTGCCATGTGAGTCAGTGATAGATATCTTTCCCGATGATCCGGAACGCAAGACTGAGCGATTTTTTCAAGGGGGCACCGGGATCGAAATTTCGTACCGGGGGAGGGGGGGGGGGGGGGGTCCCGAGAGGGCTCGAAAAAAATTTCTATATGTATATTAGTAAATGTGTTTTGGAGCATATTGGACACTCTTGATTGAAATTTCCAAATCGGGACTGATATATTACATAATACAGCTGCCAGTCTCATCGACTCTCACAAGACATTGCCACAGACAACAAGTGTATCATTGCTCAAGTACACATGAGATGGGTCTAATTGACACTGGGGTCCTCTAATAAGTTTGTAATACATATTTTTCCTATGGTTGGGAGCCGCGGATTGCTCGGACCGCCGGTAAATCACATGATCGTGGGAATGATCTGCCTTATATAGGAGGGGAGGGAGGGGGGGGGGGGGGTCCAGCCAGGGTCGAAAAAAACTTTTCGACCCTATATCCGAAATTCCGATCCCGATGCCCCCTTGGATTTTTTCCCCAAGTCCTTTCGCCTTCCAAACGCCTTCACAATGCATGCCTTCCGCACGAATTTGGCAGGAATTTCATGTTGTCGGGGCACGAAAGTCCTCAGCAGGCTAAAGTCTTCCGACACTGCCCGCCAATTTTTTCTTCTCTTGTTGCATGGCAGATGAGCAATGAACTCTGAGAAGACCATCGGCAGACCTAGGGTGGCAGAGATACAACTTTCCTGCGTGGCGAGGTCTTCGAGCACTTTGATTCCTCGAATGTGTTTCCATTTTGGGCTTGGCACCCTCGGAAGACCTTCGACAAGTCAAAGTCCTCTAAAGTCCTTCGAAGATCAAGTATCAAAGTCCAAAGTTGAAAGACCTCGTTCAGAGTGCGAAGACCTCAAAGTGCTTTCTGTAGTTTTACTGATGCATCCTTCTTGGTAAAACTGAGAACTATATGAACGTCACGGACGACGTACACATGTGCGTTTATTTTTCCCTGCTGTTGTACATGTCCTAACTGGGCATCTGGAGCCACCTCTTCCATTGGCTTTGGTCTCGGATCGTTCAGAATGCTGTTGATCTCTTTGTGGAGTACTGGAATACACACAAGACTCGCAACCAACGCAACAAAGCCCTACCCTCGGGGGTGTCACCGCAGGACGTTTTTGACAAACCTCAAAACTTTGGCCTCGAGTTTGGAGGAATCGAAGTTGACCGCGAGTTTGTACGTGAGCTGCGGAAGACTCTACCCAAGTCCCGGGAGGAGTGCTACCGATGGGTTCCGGAGGAGTTTGAGGTGCAGGCAGTGGCGGCGTACGAGCACCTGGGAAGTCCAGCCTTGAGGATCACCGAGGGCTGGACAATCTTCTCTCGGAGGCATAGAATACTTAGGTTGTACATACTATGTCAATGGTATAGACACAGTGGATCACTGAAACCTTTTGCATGCATGTGTATGGATGGGTACGTATGGCACTGCCGGTGATGAAGCGAACGGCGTTCGAATAAGTAGACGCCGTGTTGAGTCAGTGTAGCGGGAAGCAAAGGTGAAGACCAAAGTTTTCGATTCGGCAACTCGGAGAACTGTGATTCCGATCAATCATTGACGGGATATGTGATCCGAGTGACCGAGCAAACCCGAAGTACATAGCCGATGTCAGTCTGACGGCTGACTGATCTGAAACGTGAACCTCGACCTTTAGGCCTACCGTATACTGGTAGACACGAGAATCAGCTCTCGAGAGAGAGCGGCACTCTTTCTTGCATGTCGCGAGCAGCAAAGAAGGTTTTTAAATTCCGGCACAAGATAGCGACCAGCCCGTGTTGTATGGCGTTGAAATCACCTTCCTTGTCGGCCGCGTGGCAAAATGGTTACTGCGTTGCTTTCCGGTTAAGCCGTTGGCTAGTTCGTTAGGCAGAGATTGTGCGTTCGATCCGCACCGTGGTCGTCTCACCTTTTTTCGCAAAACAAATGCCTTTAACCAGCGACCGAAAACTCTGCGTGCATCCTTTGTAGCCCGCATTCAGCCCGCATCTCATCTTTTCAACATTCCAATCAGACTCGTGCAAGTAACGCGTCATGACTGTGGTTCTGTTCTCATTTCCGAATGCAGAGCCGTGGCGCATCAATGATCGGCCCCACATCTTGTCTCTGGCCACCCCTCCTTTCTGTGCTATTGTCACGTTTACTCCAGCCATCTGTCAAGACTCAATGCTCAATGCGTCGCGGCCCCTGACGGACACCAGCCAACTTCGGGCTCAGCGTCATCCGAAGGGGCACACGATTCACGGAGATAGCTGGCCGCTAGCTCAGACTCAGACTCGGCTGCCGACGGGGTATGTATTGTTGTCGGTGATGGAATCGTGGCCGACGTCTATGCATTACCAATCGGTCTGCGGATTGGTCCTGCTCCATTCTTGACCAGTGTCTGGATCAACGTCGGCTACGATTGGACATTTCAATACACAGCGGAACCTAACTCGACCTGGGAGCATTTGAAATGGAATTTGAACGGATCCAGCGCTCGGGACGGCGTCACGGAGCCCTCGGGTGTTTCTGACGACCTAAAGGTTGACTATCCCTTGACGAGTACATGTGTTGCGGTTCGTTCCCACTCCAGTGTCTATTCAAGTGAGTCGCGAGATCCGGGGTATTCATTTGCAGGAAGCGTATATTAAGCAGGGCGACGCGACTAAACTGCCAATCCCCTAGCTGCGATGCCTGTTGCTCTTCCAGCGTTTTCCTGAATTCAACTTCGTTTTCGAGGTTCGACACGGTGGTTGCGGGGCTCGAGGCACCCCGGCTGCGTTGCGTGCATATTATTGTGTCCAAAGACGGGATGTCGTGGAGGCCTTCGGGAAATAGGATCGGGTTTGAGCAGTTTGTGGGGGTGGTCAAGGGGTTGAGGGCATTGTTCCCGTCTTTGCGTGTGAGAGGAGGACAAGGAGGGTGTCTGAGATTGAGTTGCGTTAATGGTGAGTGTTGATTTCTTAGCCAAGCTATCTTGTGTGCTTACGGCGGATATAGATGGAGTTCAGACAGATTTCTAGGCTGGATTGGACATTGTTTTGTTGCGGGGATTCGAACTTGTAAGCACATTACTACTGTACACCACTACGCCTCGCACTTGTTCTGTGACTAGTTCCAATTGGCTGCGTAAATCCGGAGTTTGTATGAGCTGTAAGCTCAAGGCATTCGTTACGGCCACTATCAATTCGCTTCCCACTGCACCACACGGAGAAGCAGGGGACTAGGTTGGCACCAATAGGTCAAAGTTCAGGTATGCACTTCAAGTACGCCCTGCAACGAGCCCTTGCGTCACTTGCACTCACAGGACCACCGGTCGATCTAGACCAGCGCGAGTCGGGTTGATCGAACCTTTGTGAACCTAGCGACGCAAAGTTGGCATTTCAATTGCGGCCCGGAGCTTGCCCGGGGCTGGTGGGCGGGATAAGATAAGCCTGCCGTGCGACTCCAGATAAATACATGCAGGTCCTTTCCCCGTCCCATTCTTGTAAGTATCTGTCCCGCGTCAAATCTGACCTGCGTCCTCGCCGCCTGGCTCTACTTCAAGCTTGAATTTTGACAGTGACTTCCGTGAGGCAGACCGTGACCCACGGCGGGGTTGTGGCGCATCAAGAACTTGGCATCACCTTGGCATCGCTCCGATGCATCACATGCGCATTGCACCACATGACACGCGTGACCTCCTCAACAGCCGACGTAATGCCTCTCGTAACCCCGCTCTCTATCACCACGACCACGATGAGGCTCATCCTGACCGGCACCTCACTTCTCGCGAGTGTCCTCGCGGCGGCTGCCCAATGCCCGGATTATGCGACGTACTCACAGGTGTGATCCAACCCATCCCGTTGAAAGATACATGATACAGATTCTCTGTGGAATCCAGGAGCCTCACGGAGATCGATCCACTGGACCGCTCGCCCTGCCTTACATGCGGCCCAGCCCTGGTACGTCGTCCGACTCTTCCATCCCCGCCGCTCGAGTCGCTGACATGGTCATACAGAGTGCCGTACCTTCAACAGCTCTGCCGTCGAGGTATGCTATCCCGGCCTGTCCGTCGCTGTTGGCTAACACACCACTCACAGCAAGTTATCGTGGATATGACACAACGTCTGAAGGATCCAGACCTGGCGCGTCTCTTCGAGAATACCTTCCCCAACACCCTCGGTACGTATCCGTGGTTTGTACTTGCGTTGGAGCATTCCTTTGACTCGGTGGCAGATACGACCGTCAAGTACTTCAACGCCGTTCGTATATCCTTGTTACTCACCAATCTGACCCATCTCACAATCGACAGACGGAGAATCTGGCCTTTATCATTACGGGAGTAAGCCGATTTCGCTTCCGCCCACCGCTCATTCTAATCTGCATCTTACATAGGATATTACGTGCGTTCCACCGTTTGCCGCCCAATCGATTCTTGAGCTTCGTTAGGGCCCAATGGCTGCGCGACACTGCCAACCAGGTGCGTACTTCTAGCCCTTTCGATGAGTTTACTCTTACATCCTCGTTCCAAGTTCGCGCATTATGCCCCTCTCCTGAGCTCCGACCCTGCTTTGGCGACTCTGGTCAAAGCTGTGATCAACAACGAAGCGCGATACGTCTCGGAATACCCGTATTGCGGTGCCTTCCAGCCGCCCGCAGAGTCTGGCCTCGCACCGTCGCATAACGACTGGGCGGACGGTGTCACGGTCAACCCGTGAGTTTTTCTCTACTCGATGACGGTGTTGGAACTGACTTGTGGATAGCCCCGTGAACAATCAAACCGTCTTTGAATGCAAGGTACATATTTTCTAGCCTCATCCAGTATCTCCGCTTACCCAACCAGTACGAAATCGACTCTCTCTGCGGCTTCCTCAAGCTTTCTCGTTCGTACTACCAAGCCACCGAGGACTCTTCGTTCATGAACGAAAACTGTATGTTCATCCTCTGTCTATCTCTCTTGCGATTAAGACGCCTATGCGCACCAGGGTATAACGCGGTCAACCAAATCTTCCGCGTCATCGACGAACAGTCCCAAGGCACTTTTGACGACAACTTCAACTTTATCTCGTACTACAACTGGACGGGCGGTAACGGCGCGCTAAGTCCCGCTGTCATCAATAGAGGGAATGGCGAACCCAAGGAGTACACTGGTCTGTATTTCCATTGCTGGACCATGAATGAGTTAATCCGTGGGATATACAGGAATGGTCGGCACGCATCATCGTCCGAGCGACGATCTCAGCGTCTACGCGTTCCTCACCCCCGCCAATGCGATGCTCTCGGTCGAGCTTGACCATCTATCTGATATCCTCGTCTCGTCCGGCCAGGCGAAGAGTGGTAATGGGAAGAAGATTAGCAGCAAGGCTACGATGTTGAGCAAGCGCATTGAGGAAGCCGTCTGGGCGCATTCTGTGAGTTGTTATGATCACGAGGAGAGATGACTCATTTACTTTCGAACAGCTGGAGGATAATGTCTTTGCGTATGAGACGAATGGTAATTGTCCCCCTTCGTCACGACTGCCTTGATCCAATCTTCCTCAGGATTTGGTTCCCGCAACATTATGGACGACGCGAATGTTCCCGTATGTCATTTTCTTCCACACACAGCGCAGGAACTCTGATAAATCGCTCTTCCGCACAGTCCCTCCTCGCCCTCCCATACCTCGGCTTCCTCAAAAAGACACACCCTGCGTACATCAAAACGCGCAAACTCCTTCTCTCGAAACAAAACCCGTACTACGCTGCGGGGCAGAACTTTAGTGGAATCGGGTCAGTATCTTCCCTCTCCCTTAGCATTTATTTCGATCTGATGAATGAAAGAACAGAGGCCCGCACGTCGATGTATGGCACCCCTGGCCCATGTCACTCATTTCTGCCATCTATGGTACCGACGATGACACCGAGATCACTACGATGTTGTATTCTATCGCCAAGGTACGTCCTCGTCCTCCCACTGTGACTCAACCCTCAATAAAATAAAGAACACCGTCGGCCTCGGTCTGATCCACGAGTCGCAGTCTATCTACGACGCCACGTCGTATACGCGTTCTTGGTTTGCTTGGGTATGTGCACTAGCTAGGATTACCTTGACTTGGCAGCTTACATTACATGCGCAGGCAAACAGCTATTTTGCCGAGATGCTCCTCGACCTCGCACAGCGCAAGCCGGGGCTCATCTTCCACAATAATTTCCCGTACAAGCCGGGTCAGAATGAACATGCGCATCGCGAGTTTTGAGCAGGAGTAGGAAGGGATAGGTGGTGAATTCGAACTTGATGTAGGCCAGCATGTGGGCTAGTCGCTCGTGGGGATGTGTAGCCAAGTTGAAATGAGAAGAAACATTGAGACGGCGACGATATCATTCCATTCTGAGCCCTAGACCGCTTCTGCTACCAAGTTCTTCATGCATGCGCTCGACACGGCTGCCGCTCGCTGTGGGGCCTGGAAGGTTCCGGAGGTGGTGAGTCAGAACCGTGCCGAAATCCCGAAATCCCAACATGAGCTATCGAGTTGGATACACTGAGGTTCTTGATCATCCGCTTGGCTTGCCAGAAGTATAACCAGCCATACTTACCCTGATCTTCCGCTTCCGACAATTTGTGCATGCAAGGGTGCGTCTTTTCCGAAGAGGGGATAGGTGGGGCATTGTACGACGGGGCAGGATATGTGAATGCGCAGTCTTGGTATTTAAGCAAGCTTGTATATACTTCTCACTTGCCGGACGCCGAGCCATTGTGATATCTAAATATGATATCCCCAGGACGGGCACGGTGAAATTGCCGCCGGAGGCGCAATTGGCGCAATTGGCGCAGTGATCGGCGCCGAATTACGCGCGTGACGGCGCCAGTGTGACATCCACTGGCGCAGTGCGGTAGTTTGCGTAAAGATATTACCAAACTGAAAATGAGACGATTGCCTTGACTTGTAGTCTGTTACCCGG